CGCCCAGGCCCCACTGGTGAACGCAGCCAGCCGTGCTGATCCGGTGGGCCCCTAAAACCACGGATCTGGCTGTGCGCCCCGCTCCGCTTCGACCCCTTCCGCCCAGGGCCGCCCTCGGCCCACCTCCCTCGGTGAGTGCCCCCCTCCCAGCTTGACCAAGGTCCTTCCAGCCCCCAGGTTCGACCCATCCGGCACCCTAATTGCACGGTCTGCCTGTGGCTCCTGACATGGTGGTCCTTCAGGCTCACCCTACCAGCCACCTTACCTATGGGGGTCGTAGGGGGTCTAAACCTGAGGGAACAGCAGGCCCACCTCGGGCCTCTCTCCTTTCATTTCTCAGACGGAGCCAAGGGCCTCGAGCCCCGGTTATTCCTAGAGCCTCGCAAAGCGCTCTCCCGGCCCCCCGAGTTGGAGCCTTTGTCTAGGCCTCCCCCCACCTCTAGGCCGCGGTGGCGGACGTGCCCGAGCCGGGCTGCGGAGCCGCGTCTGCACCTGCCCACAGGTCCCGTGAGCCGGCTTTGCGCGGCTTAACCCGGCTTGCGCCTCCGTGTGCCCCCGAGAGCCGCCTTCCGCGGCCCTTTATCCTGCGTGATCGCGGTTCGGGTTGGGGAAAGCGCCTGGTCTGAAAATCTCCCGCCCCTGCTCCAAGCCGGTGTCAGAAACCTTTTAGTAGGATTTCAATAAGAATGGGGCCCCCGCGGGCTCGGGGATCTGCCGCCGGGAGGCGTAGACAGCGGTCTGGGTTTGACTGGACGACCGGTACTTAGAATCCTTCAGTGGAGGCCAAGCTTGAACTCCAGGTTGGCCCAACTGCTAGGAGAAAGTTCCGGCGTTCAGGGCCTCCGGGTGTGGTGGCCGCTCCTTTCCCGGAAAACACGGAAGGAAATTCGTTGTTTTGGAAAAAGCCACGTCTCCTGGCCAGGGTCGGGAACATCTGGCGGTGAGCTCTAGATCTACGCAGGCACCTCGCGCTGGAATTCGTTTATGAGGGAGTAAGCAGGATTCAAGAAACAGGTTAGGGCCAGTACGGCTGCTCAGGCGTCTAGAGAGGTTTCCCACCCGGGTTGACAAACTACAAACAATTTGAGTCTAACGAAACTGATTTACTAGTTGTGCAGCCGGGCCGCTGGCTGCTCTGAGTAAATTGTGGTTGTTCCTGGAGGAGGCCATTCTCAGCAGGACCTCTGTGGGAGGCTGCCCTGTTTGATTTAGGGTTAGAACCTAGTAAGGAGATGTAGGATCTCCGAGGTGCCTCTACCCCAGGCGCTGAGGCGTCTAGGACGTTGGGTCCCTGTACTTATGATTCAAAGGGACCCAGAAGACGGGTGGGATGGGAGGGCCAGATTAGAGGCCAGAAGAGAGGGAACCATCCATCATATTTGGAGGGGCTGGAGGTGAAGCCCAAAGAACAGGAGGAGCTGTTGGAGCCCTGTTGGGGAACCGCATCTGGAAGGATAGCTGTGACCTGAGCAGATCTGAGGCTTTGCCCTAAAGGGGACTTCTGAACCCCTTTTGGCTACTGAGGCCCCACCTCCTTCTTGGTACTCTTCAAGGCACATTGCCAGTGTGGGGCTGGGAGGCCGCTGTGCTGCAAATTAAATATTCCTATGGAAGGCAGCCCCTAAACAAACGGATTTCTTTGGTCCCCCACTCCCTCTCACTGACAGGGAATTAGGTGTTCATGGGAAAAGGCCAGAAGAATTAGGTTACAAAGAGGGCAAACTTACGGTCCCAGAGGGACAGCATCTGGTAAGTGAAGTTTAAACAAAGGACTCAGAGGATAGGGCTATGTGGGGCTGGTAAAACCTAGGTAGCCAAGAGCCAACCCCGGGCCAGTGAGGCCCTATAGAACCAGGCATCGGATCCCTGAGTACCCATCTCCCTGATGGGAGTATCTCAGTCTGCACAGATACACACTCTGCCAGGGCAACCTGGGTCACGTGTAAAGCTGTCAGAAAATTCAGTTTTGTTCTTGCGCTTTCCCAGTCCTTCGTGAAATCTTGCTACCACGCAACATCTGAGTGCAATGGAAGGGGAGCGGCCACCTTTGCCACAAATCTTGAGAACAAAAAGAAAAAAGAAAGAGGGAGACCCCGAAATCTGAGGTCGTGAACGGAAGTAGATCTGCCTTCCTTAGGCAGAGGTTGGCCCCACGACCTTTGCGGATTGTGGAGGCTTCCCTCTCCCTCCCAAGACGTTTGTTTGGGCAGAAGTGATAGGATGGTCTCCGTTGCCTAGGGAGCGAGGCGCCTGGCTGGTGTCGGTCTGTCTGTCTGGCATAGATATACACACACGAGCAGTCCCTTTTTATTGGTCGACTGGGCGCCCTGCTGCCTAGCGCCCCTCTTTTCTCTCCCAGACGGGTTCGTTCCTGCGGGAAAACACAGCAGTCCCGGGTCCAACGCAGATGCTCCAATTAACGTGGAGGCCTCCGCCAAGCCTTCCTGCCTCCCTTTCGAGGACGGCAACCCCAGGGTCTCAGGAAACCTGGCGGGGCTCTCTTTCCTCCCCCCACCCCCCCCAACACACACACCGCCCAGGCCCGGAGTGCGAGAAGAGAGGTTGGTGCCAATCTCCTAGGACCCCTGCTCAACCATTGCTTAACTTCCCTGCTCAGCTCCTTTGCGCGGCGATTTTCTGAACCGCCTAGCAGAGTAATTAAATCCCCGCCTGCGCTCCCTTCTGCGCTAGGCTTGCCGGCAGCCGCTCGGGCAGGGGGCCCGGCAGGGGGCCCCGTCCGGCCAGCCACCTCCATTCTTGCGGTGGTCAGAACGCTGCCCCGGAGGGGCTTCAGGTTGCTCGGGAGGAGCGTGAAGCCGAGCTCCCAGTGATAAAGCTGCAGACCCACCCAGCCGAGGGATAATTTGAACCTCGCCTTCGGGAGGAAAAGCGAATTACCTACTTTTCCGAGCGCTCGAAGCGGCCACCTCCCTGCCAACCGAGGCGCCGATCGTTGCCCCGAGAAAAGCTTCTGTTACGCTCCGGCGTTATTAATAGCCCCGCGACCAGCCCGCGGGCGGGCGGCCCCTCACACTGGGTCCCGGGATTCGAGCTAGAGTGGGGCAGCCTTGCCTGACAAGGGCGATTGCCCCTGGGGTCTTATCTTTGAGAAACTCCGCGAGGCTCCACGGACACAAAACAGGTTCGAGGCATTTTACAGGTTGATGAAAAATCGTAAGCTAAAGACTAGGAGGTGAGACAGACATCTACGCAGAGGCAGGGGGTCCGGGTCATACATCACGCGTTGTGGGGACGTGAACTAGGAGGCGCGGAGACCACTCACCTGCGGGACGAGGGTGCGAGGCTCAGTGCCTGCAGCCTCGCTTTTCTGCTCCGGACCCGTGAGCACCTTACCCAGCGGGAGCTGGCCTCCTCTCCTTTTCTCTTCTAGTTAGGAGAAGCCGGAGCCCCGCGCGCGCCACAATGGAGCGGAGCGGAAGGCACAGCAGCGGGTCTGGGCAGATGAGTGCCTTAGGGCCGAGACGCGCCTGTTCCCAGCTGGATGGGGCTCTGCACTCCTGCCCAGAGCCTTTACCTGCGCCACGGCGAGACGCAGAGGCAGTAGGAGCCCCGGGTTCCGGCCCGCGACCCCTTGACGCTGCCCAGAGCCAGGCTGAGAAAGGAAGACGGAGTCATGCGCGTGGATCTGGGCCGGGCCAGGTGCCCCCGGAGCCGAGGGGACCCAGGGCTTTCCTTCCTCTCGGATTATTAAAAAGTTCATTTCCTGGCGAATCGGGTGACGTCAGGGGCCCGGCGTCGCGGTGGCGGGGCCGTCCGGCCGAAGAAGCAGCTTCCAGTTACCCAATTACCGACTGTCAATCCCGCCGCCCCTCCCCCCACCCTCCCGGGGGTGGCCCGGACCCGCCCTCCCCCCAGCCTGGGACCTGACAGGGATCCCTCTGGGCATCTACACCGACAGCCGTGGACCCGGAGAGGGGAGAGGGGGTGGAGGACGTTGATTACCCCCCATTAACCCTGCACCTAAGTACCCCCAAATTTCTTTGTTCCCGACTCCCCCGCCTCGGCCATAGGTTCCCTCCGAGACTTGTTCTCTTCTGTCTGTACAATGGGAGAGAGCGAGGAGATTTGTGCACCGGGCCCAATCGACCCACAGAGCTGGATCTCTGGCCTGGGGTGGGGGGCGGGTGTGGGGAGCAGTCCTAGGTGACTTAGGGGACAGAGTTCTCCCTCTCCCCAGGGGCCGCCTTAGGGAACTCCAGGAAGAAAATATGCCTTCTCCTGCCCGGAGGCGTCTCCTTCGAGCCTCAACCGGCGCCGGCGCCAGTCTGGGTCACCAAGGCCTCGCCTCAGGCAGTTTGGCCTGTTGGTCTTCGAAGGCCACGCCCGGGAAGGGGACCCCCCTGTCCCTTCTCTGAAGCTTTAGGCTGGACCACCTCCACTGGGATCAAACACAGTTCTAAGTGGCTTCGTATTTGAGGCCCGGGTGCCCATTAGAACCCCACAATTCAGCCCCTCGCAGCTCTTGATGTCCGGGAGCTGTCCTTCCTCCTCCCCCAACCCCTGCGGCGAGTTGGGGGAGGGAACGTCTGGGTAGGTAGTTGGGCTTCAACTAGCCACGTTCGATGGTAAAGGAGATGGGATCCAAGAAAGTGGAAAGGCTGGAGTCCCGTGGAAGGGAACACCTGGATACTCAGAACGTGCATGTCAAGGGCTTCTATGCAGGGGGCTCCAATTGAAGGTTAGTTACTGGAGGAGGTTCCAGAGATTGGGGGATCCGTGAATGTCCCTACGGATGAAGGGCGCAGCGGACTGCCTTCGAGGTGAGGGTGGAAGGGGTGGCTGCAGGGGCCTCAGGGAGGGCCCTTGGAGGGTACCTAAGGAAGGAGGGGGCCCGCTGGCGGGTCAGTCAGCGAGTCCGCCAGGCAGGGAGTTGAAAGCACTGCCAATGGTGGGCGGAGGCTGGGCTTCGTGCGGAGATGATTGGCTGGCGCGGGCTTCTTAGGCGTGCGCGGCCTCAGCTTCATGTCTGTGCTGGAGTCTCGAGCTGGCGCCAGGGCGGTCGGAGGATGCAGAGGGGACGGAGCCCGGCGCGCCTGAGGCCAAGGCGCTCGCTGTCCCTCAATCCTACCCAGTGAGCCACGCCAGCCGCCTGACCCTTTGCCCCTAGGCTCTTGACTCCCGGGGCTCCTGCGGTGTTGTCCCCCATCTGAGACTGTGTCTGTCCGTGGCTCTGCGTGTGTAAGTTTGGGGTTCGAGGGCTGGCTGGGAGTGTTGGGAGCGCCAAGCTCTGAGATGTCTCTGCAGGGGCACAAGGCCGAAGTGCGGCTGGGGGTGACTGTTTTGGTGTGCCTAAGTGAGAGGTGCAGATTATGTTGCCTTGGAGTGTACTCGGGCGGCTGGCTCTCAGCGGGTGGGGCAGCGTATGCCTGTTGGGTGAGGGGGAGGGGACAAAGTCAGTATGTGTATCTGGCGCCAAGTATAGGTGTGTGCGTATTGCTGGGGTCATGTGCTCTAGTGGATCCCCAGGAACCTGTCTCCAACTTTTAGTCTGTTTCTGTGTTTGTGTACCGGGAGGGTGGAGGTTCAGTGTGAGTTTCTGACTAAAGTGCGACTGTTCGTGCGTTTTGGGGTTAATTAGTGTAGGATCTCGTCTTTGTGTGTGCCTCTGTGTGCACAGGTGTGTGACTCTGGGACCAGTGGTCACCACATGAGTGTGCACAGCTAAATCGTCTCCCCCACCTTCCTTTCGTTTTGAACTTTAAGTTTTCCTTCCACCCGGGGCTGGTGCACGGCTGAGCTCCACGGAGTAAGCAGCGCACGGGCTGCCGCGTGACTGAACTTTGGGGGTGTCAGGCTGTGGCTGCGTCCCTTACGCCCCCTTCTATCTCCAGGGCCGCTGCTGCCTCCTCCCCGAACCTGAACCCGAGCCTCCGCCACTGGCTATGGAGGTGACGCCGGAGCAGCCGCGCTGGATGGCTCATCCCGCAGTGCTGAATGCGCAGCACCCCGACTCTCATCACCCGGGCCTGGCGCACAACTACATGGAGCCTGCGCAGCTGCTGCCTCCGGACGAAGTGGACGTCTTTTTCAACCACCTGGATTCGCAGGGCAACCCCTACTACGCCAACTCGGCCCACGCGCGAGCGCGCGTCTCCTACAGCCCAGCTCATGGTGAGCCCAGGGCCAGTGGGTGACTGGGAGCTCTGTCGCCTAGCGCCAGACACGGAAGGGAAGGAGGGCCGGTCTTTCTTCTTCCCGGATATGGGATCCACAGAAATTGGAACAGCAAAGAAATCGGGGCGGGAAAGGTGGGGGCAGTGGCCTCTTAGGGAGCATCTGGGTCCCACAGGGTTTTTGCCCATTTCCAGCTGGCTCGTGGGGGGTGTCTCTAGGCTTCGTCCAGTGGGGTTTCATCTTTGCCACTTGTCTTTGAGCTCCAGACTGACATTCCTTATTTTTGCTGGTCGTTAAATTTCTGTTTTTCTTTGGGGAGAGTGTTGCTGCTGGTTCCTTTGTGAGTTGTGGTCCTGTGTATGGTGTCCTGGTTGGGCCCAGCCCTTCTGTATCCTAACCCCTCTCCTTTTTCCCTCAGCCCGCTTGACCAGCGGCCAGATGTGCCGTCCACACTTGTTGCATAGCCCTGGGTTGCCCTGGCTGGACGGGAGTAAAGCAGCCCTCTCTGCTGCTACAGCACACCACCACAACCCCTGGACTGTGAGCCCCTTTTCCAAGACACCGCTGCACCCCTCAGCTGCTGGAGGCCCTGGAGGCCCCCTCTCCGTGTACCCAGGGGCAGGGAGTGGGAGTGGGGGAGGCAATGGGGGCTCTGTGGCCTCCCTCACCCCCACTGCAGCCCACTCTGGCTCCCACGTTTTTGGCTTCCCACCCACACCACCCAAGGAAGTGTCTCCTGACCCCAGCACCACCGGGGCTGCCTCCCCAGCCTCCTCTTCCGTGGTGGGTAATGCAGCCCGAGGAGAGGACAAGGATGGTGTCAAGTACCAAGTTTCACTGGCTGAGAGCATGAAGATAGAAAGCAGCAGTCCCCTGCGCCCAGGCCTGGCTGCTGTGGGCACCCAGTCTGCCACACACCACCCCATTCCCACCTACCCCTCATATATGCCAGCTGCCACCCATGACTACAGCAGTGGACTTTTCCATCCTGGAGGCTTCCTAGGTGGCCCTGCCTCCAGCTTCACCCCTAAGCAACGCAGCAAGGCACGCTCTTGCTCAGGTAAAAGCAGGTACTAGGGACCAAGTCGAAGTAGGGGTGGTTTGTGCTTTGCGGGGTGGTGGTTGGGTTGGGGAGATGTAAGCTGTGGTATGGGAGAGGGGTCAGTGTCAGTCTCCCAGATCTGGGGATGGGTAATGTCCCTCTTTAAGATACCCCAAGAGATGTCTGAGACCCCAGACGTCGTAAGTGTTCCTGGTGGCCACCAAATTTCACTTTACTTTCCTACTCCTTACCTTGCTCTACACCACTGGCCACTGCCAGATCAGACCACAAGAGGGATATTCCCTGTTTCCCTCCCTGAATCTTAAGTGAAAACTCCATGTGAGAGAATGCAGTATGCAGGGGAAAGCAAAGGCCATGTTTAAGTGTGTGTACATGTGTTGTGAGCATGTGTGCTTACTGTGGGTATACTCCAAAGGCTCCAGACCCTTAAGGAATCTGGTTCTCCAACTCAATCAGTCCAACCTTTGGATTTCAATGATTCCCAATCTCCTCGGGTGATTTCCCCAAAGCAGAATTCTAGGACCTGTTCATGCTCCCCATCCAGCCTCCCTGAAGGCTGGAGTGAGGGGATGAAACTGTAGGTGCCTCTCTGCTCCTTTGCAAGAAGAGTTGGCTTGGGCCAAGATGGATTTGTCCAAGAATCTGGCCATCGTAGAGCAGAAACTGTGGCTAGTGTGAGGGTCCTGCTGTCAATGTCTCCTTCCCAGTTCTTTTAAGCTGGGGAAAGGAAGATTTTATAAACCTATTCCTGAGTTCAGGACACACTTTTTCTTGCTCATATACCTTATTTTGCTGTGTATAATGCTCACTTCTTTGCTCACATTTTTGAGGAAAAAAATAAGGATGTGCATTATACATGGATAGGACCTGAAATACCTCATCTCTGTCCTTGTGTTTTGTCATTATTTTTTACATAAAATTTCTTGCACCATAGTATGTTCAAAAAGGCTAAAATTGCTTTGTAATACAAAAAGCAAGCATCTAAATATAAATAAATAAATAATTGAATTAAAAACTTAAAATGAAAGATTATTTTTTTCTGAAAGTTTGGGCCAAAAACATGGGTGAGCATTATACATGGGAGCACATTATACACAGCAAAATATGGTATATTGACAATTTAGTTTAAACTAAATGTGGGAAAATTTCCTGGGTAACATGATGTTAGCAGCTACCCTCCCTGATCGCTGAAGCTGCTACTTGTAGCCACATTAGTCTCACCTCGGAGTCCCTGTTCTGCTCAGACCAGCTAGCTTGCCTTTAATTAGTTTTTTTCTCCCAAGTTTGTTTTACATTCTATTTGAATTCCAGATGGTCTTCTAACAAAAACAAAACAAACAAAAAGCCAACAACAATAAAAAAAGAGAATTGTTACTTAACCTAAAAATGAAAGGACTTATTATTTGTTTTATTTTAAACAACTTCGACCTGAGTCCTGGACTGAAATGTAGGGGCTCAGCCAAAGAGGAGATTTGGGGAGAAAGGAGGACGTTACCCTTGACGGAGAGCAGAAAGACAGGGCAAAGGCTGAGGGCATAGACGTGGAGCAGAGACCCACTAGATGGCGGATGTGGTTGCCGGGGGGAAGGATAGGAAAGAGACAAAAGAGAACTAGAAAGGGGGCTGGAGTAGTCCCCAGCCCAAGCAGATCAAGCTGGGCGATTCCTGTCACAGTCCTCCCATTGGAAAAGTTTGTTGTAAATACCCTCCCCTGGTCACTCTTTTGGAGAAACCCTGGAGCCCTGGCCGAGCTCCTCCCTCTGTCCTCGTTTTCCTTTCTTTCAAGAGAATTTTGAAGAGGGAGATTTGTCCCCAAACTACTCTGTGAACCCCTCTCATGTGGGGGAAATCCCCTGGGTCTCTCTTCCAACCCTGGCTGGGGCTAAAAGTTGCCTCCCTTGAAGCAGTCTGGCAGAAACAATCAGAGCCCACTTACCCAGCTGACTGTCTTCCATGACTTTGTTGGTTAAACAGTCTTGGTGTCTGTCCCTGTCCCCTTTCAGAAGGCCGGGAATGTGTCAACTGTGGGGCCACAGCTACTCCTCTCTGGCGGCGAGATGGCACCGGCCATTACCTGTGCAATGCCTGCGGGCTCTACCACAAGATGAACGGGCAGAACCGGCCACTTATCAAGCCCAAACGGAGACTGGTAGGCAGTGGGTGCAGGAAGAAGGCCCATGGGAGACAACTGGGGTATTCTTACCTGGGCTGGAGCTGACAGTTGATTAAGAAATAACAACAGAACTCTTCAAATGCAGATGACTTGCCACTTAAAATCTTTTAACATTAAAATATCTTGGATGTCGGTTGGGGTCGCCCTTCTTTCAGGCCAGATTTTTTTCAGGCCAGATTCCCTTCTCTGCAGCCCATCAGGGACCCTCACCCTACTCTGCTCAAAGATACTGAAAGTTGAGTGTCCAAGGGCCCAGCTTCCATTCCCTGGCTTCTGTTTAACTTAAAAAAAAAAATAGGGCCATGAAGTAATTTTCCTTGTGGCTTAGGGCAGCTCTCTCACAATCTCCTCGTGCCTATTTAAATAAAACACACCAACCACCAAAAAAGCCTGCCTTTTATTATTTTTCCATGGAGACACCTATACTGTGTATTTTCATTTGAGTGATTAAAAAAAAAATGCCCTTTCGGATCTCCTGCCGGAGTTTCCTATCCGGACATCTGCAGCCTGAAGATAAGGAAACTTCTCGTATCTGTTTCCGGACTCCGCTAGTTTTTAGAGTCTCTCCTCGGCTCAGTCCTGCCTCTCGCTGGGCTGTTTTGAAATTTCTAATACCCTCCACTTTGCAAATTATGTGTAAAATGCTAAGAATAATAAATATATTTTTTCAGAGCGAAGTGATTTATGAGGCTTAAATCACTCGCCGCTTTGGGGGCCCCCTTTTTTTCCCTGCAGTGAGGGTGGGGTGAGGACTCAGGTGATGTTGGCCCCTGAGTCAGAATTCCAGCTTCAGGCTGCTGCTTACTCACCCTCGCCATTCCCTGGCTCAGAGGCTACAGTCCATAGGCTGCAGTCCCTCTGTGGCCAGGCTCCAGCCTGGGGCCATTCCAGCCTCTGCTGGCCTCAATCTTCCACAACCCATCTTGCTGCTGGTGGTTCTCGGGTAAGTGCTTGGGGAATGCATTCTATGACTGTGTGGTTGACATTGGTTGTCCTGGGAGAAGAGTCTACTTTCTGGAATAAAGACCCTCTTACCTTCTCTTACAAGCAGCTCACTCCCTTCTCCAGGAACGAGGCATTCATTTCCAGACCACCTCTGTTCTTCATTCCTTGAGGAGCTGGGGGCAGTTAGAACTCTGAGGTTTGGGGTACAAGGGGCTGAATAGATAGACCAGCATTGTCCAATAAACCTACAATAATAGAAATGTTCTAGGTCTGCATGATCCACTGTAGTAACATCCAGCCAATGTTATGACTGTTGATTCCTTGAAATGTAACCAGTGCAATTGAAGAAACAGGATTTCTACTTTTATGAAATAGTGGTTAAATTTAATCAAAGTAGTCACATGCGGGTAGTAGCTACAGTGTTGGGCAGCTCAGCTTGAGAAAGACTCCCTGAACATTTTATATTCCCACTCTGGGCATCTACATGATCCCCCTGCCCTGGCCTCAGATATGAAACTGACAATCCCAGAAATATGGATTTTGAGGGGGGTCATGTGGGAAGAGACAGAAGCATCTCCAGACCCAGGGGCACAAGGGGGATCAAACCAGTCTTCTAAACTAAAAAGCCCTTCTCAAGGCCTCAGTTTCTGATTTATAGAGTTAGATTGTTTGGCAAATCCAGGAGGTGGCTGATTTTTCCTTCCAGCTCTTGCAACCCTGTTGATTGTGACACCAGGCTTCTTAGGGTTCTTTATTCTAAAGTTCTGTATTTGTCTAGATCTCGAATTCTAAATGTCCACCGCTTGGAGATGCCTGGATTTTCCACAGGGATTTGTGCTTCTTGGCTAAGTTGTTGGGGGCAGGGTGGGGGTGGGACAAGGGTCTGGGGGGCTGGTAGAGGTGGGAAGTGGAAGCCAAGCCTGCTGACGCTGCCGATCCCCTCCCAGTCAGCTGCCAGGAGGGCAGGCACCTGTTGTGCAAATTGTCAGACGACAACCACCACCTTATGGCGCAGAAACGCCAATGGGGACCCTGTCTGCAATGCCTGTGGCCTCTACTACAAGCTGCACAATGTAAGTCTGCCCACTCTACTAGCCCCACCCCTCCCCAAGGACCTCTGCTCTTTGTGCTGGCAGGCAAGAGGCCTCAGCTGTTCTCCAGCTTGGCTTGGCTTGAGAAAGGGCTCTCATAAGACAGGGCAGGCTGGCTGGAGGTATGTTCCTCACAGCTGGGCCCAACCAGTATCTCTGTTTAAAATAAAAATGTGGGGAGTGTGTTTTGGTTGTGTTGATGGGGAGCAGTGCCCTGCAGGGTACAGGTAATCCCTGCACAGTGATGAGTACCCTTCCTGAAACTGTGGCTATACTGGTGGCAGCACAATGGTGGGCATTTGGTAGTGAGGTGCCCCAGCCCTGACCTGCCTCTGCTCCAAGCTGAAGCAGGGGCTGGGGGTCTTGCTTTATGAAGGAAACTAGACTCCCTGAAGGCTTTGTGGTTACCCCTAGGTGAATAGGCCACTGACCATGAAGAAGGAAGGGATCCAGACTCGAAACCGGAAGATGTCCAACAAGTCCAAGAAGAACAAGAAGGGGGCAGAGTGCTTTGAAGAGCTGTCCAAGTGTATGCAGGAGAAGGCCTCCCCCTTTAGCGCCGCTGCCCTGGCTGGACATATGGCACCTGTGGGCCACCTCCCACCCTTCAGCCACTCTGGACACATCTTGCCCACCCCAACTCCCATCCATCCCTCCTCCAGCCTCTCCTTTGGCCACCCCCACCCATCCAGCATGGTGACCGCCATGGGTTAGGGATAGCTCTCCATGAATGGACAGATAGATGCAGAGGAGGGTGGCCTGCAATTGAAGGCTGGATGGTCCCAAGATGGGTAGACCAAAACCTTACCTATCTGCCCTTCTGCAAAGACTGATGCCTCTCTTATCAGCCCAGCCTGAGCCCCTTCCTGCCTCACCTGTGGGTGCTCTGCTCAGCAGTTACCAGTTACCATGAAGATTCTCAGTGGGGCTGAGAGGTCATCTCGGCCAAGCTGCTACCCATTTGGGGTTCCCATCACAGACAATTGTTTGGAGAGCAGAAAGGATCACTTTATGAAGAGAGAAGGTGAGGGTAGGGGACAAACAAAGGAAACCAGTTTTTGAAGGAAGAGAGTAGGCAAAATAATTTATTTTTGCTTTTTTCTAACAAGGACTGGGGAACTTGGTAGGTCTGAGCCACCCCTGGCTCTCCCCATCTTCCTCAGCTTGGCCTTTTGTCAACTTGCCAGGGCTCTGAGGAAGGACAGGTCTGGGAGGGACTTAAGCCTGCACCTTCTCAGGCTTCCCTCTCTAAAATGCTGAGCCCCAGACTGAGTCTAGCCAATCTAGAAGTCATAGCCTACCAGAGGCTAAGCCGATGTGTGCCCTGCTGATGGACCCTGGAGAGTAGAGACAATCATAGGCGGTCCTACATGTATTCCCAGGCCAGGGCTGGGTCACAGGAAGGAAACAACATTTTCTTGAGAGGGGAAATGTCTCCCAGCACGCTCCCCTAGCTCTGAAGCTGAAACTGGTATGATCTGTGTCCCTTTAACACTAGAACCACAGCCTGCCTACTCTGCCAGGTGGACCCCTGTACATACATCCTTTTTCTGCTCACCTCTTGAACCCCTTCCTTCCCACTATGAAACAAAAGAAAAAAATATTTTTTAAAAAACTGCATAAGCTTAACTCATTGATGAGTTATTTTAATTTTAAACTCTTTTCAGGTCCAGTCAATTAAACTTTGCTACAGAAGCCTTTGTTATGGAAAGGAATAAAACCTACAAGTCAAGGCTGTAGCTTTGCAATTATTTTTGGAAAAGTTTTTGGATCCCACAGTCCTAGAATGGGGAACTGGGGACCAGAGGCAGGGCCTTGGCTTCTAGGGGTTGGTATGGCAGGTGGCAAAGGGGTGTGAGTCAGAGACAGGATTGAAAGAGAGGCCATGACCCTGCTGGGGTCCAGGAGACCTGGATTCTGCTCTGCTTTGCCATGGCTGTCTGGATCCTTCCCAAGGTACAGTTGTACATAATCTTGTCTGAGTTTAGATTCTGTGTGCGTTAGTGGTGGGGTTTGGTGGCTGGAGAGGGCCATGCCCAGGAAGAGAATTGTGCTGATGTGTAGTTGACCAAGTGCAATAAGGGCTGGCGATTGCTGCCGGGGGCACTACCACCAGAAGTAACTTATTTTGTATTAGCATCCACATAAGAAGAATCAACAGTATTTTCTGTTTTTATGTTTTATTTGGCTTGTTTTATTTTGGATTAGTGAACTAAGTTATTGTTAATTATGTACAACATTTATATATTGCCTGTAAAAATTGTATGCTATCCTTATATGCCTTTAAAGTGAATACTGTTAATAATAAAATACTTTTTGTGGATGCTTCTGTCCTGTCTTATGGACTCTTGGGGTAAGAGAGTCTCAGGTGCAGAGATTAGCAGTCAAAGTGAACTGCTTCTATAGGCCAGTGTTTTAGAGGGAAGGACTCCTGGAATTGGGGATGGGACCTTGTCTGACTGGGACCTGAAATCCTGATACTTCTGAATTGCTTCCATATCAATTTTCACATTATTACCTAACTGGGGGTCCTGGTGACTGGGTGGATACTGGAGGGGCTCAAGGAAGCTGTGGCTTCTCCAACCTTTGGTCCACACACTGATCTTTTTTGAGGTCTCAACTTGGGCTCTTGCAGAACCCAAGAAGGACTGACGCCAAGTCCACTTCCTCTCAGGAAGTGATCAGCTTTTGTTGAGCTATTCGGTCACCAATATTCCCATTCATTGACAAACCTGATCACTAAAGTGTTTGAACACTTGTCATTGATTACTGTCCTCTCTAATCAATAATGTTGGTCACCAGAGATAGCCATTACTGATATTCCATGATCAATGACAATGTCTATGATTCAATGACAATCACACCAGAGCTTGTGATCATAGACATTTGATTACTAACAACTGATAACCAATACTTAATTACCAATACTTTATCAATGCCTCTGATGGATGTTGTACGTGATCACTGATATACACAAAATGGAATCACCAGTGTCTCCGGTGACTGTCCTTGCTCACCAGTAATATGTGTGATCATAAATATCTCTTATTACCAATGTCTCTGATCAGCATATCTGTTCAGTATTTTTATTCAATGTATTTGTTTGCCAATACCTCTAATGACCACTGCCTCTTTCCCCAGTATTTCTATCCAACATGTCTGTGATCACCAGTGTGTCTTACCACCGAAGTTCCTGAGTATGAATATGTTGATTGCTCTATCACTAATGTTCTAGCCATCAAGAAATTTGATCACCAATGTGTTTTTGATCAGTGTTTTTCTAATCAGTGATAGTTAAGATCACTCATATGTGCCTCCAACATCTCTGATCATACTATTTTTCATCACCAATGTCTCTCTGATGATGTATTTTGTCATTTGTCTTCAATCACCAACATCTGTAGCCAATAATGTCCCTGATCATGGAATCCTCTTACTATCAAATTTTCTATCATTGTGGTCAGCAGTGACTGGTTACCAATACCTTTGACTGGTAAATGCTGATCACCAAGCTCTTTAGTGTCTGACATCAGCGATTGTTGAATCTCTTTATCTTCCAAGTACCTGATGACCAATATCCCTTATAACCATAATCACCAACCTCCCTAGTCATTGGTATCACTGGTCACCTGTGTCTCTGATCACCAAATTCTCCAGTCATTGATGCTTTTGACCCCCATTAGATCACACATCGCCAAGATCTTTGGGTGTCTCCAGTCATTGAATCTTATCACCGATGGTTTCTTTACCTTTTGTCATCAAGGACATGAGCACCAAATGTTTTCATCCTAATGCTCCTGTTGCCCACATCCTTTGTCCTTCATGTTCTTGATTAATGATTGACATAGCCAATGAACCATCATTTTGATCACCAAGATCTCTGAGCACTGCCTCTTGATCCTTCATGTATGACCTCTACCCTCTCTGATCACGTTGTTTGAATGACATCATTTTCCAATGACTCTACCATCTCTAATTACAAATCACTCTAGTTATACATCTCTGATCAATGGCTTATTTTTTAAAAAAAGATTTATTTTTAGAGAGAGGGGAAGAGAGGAGAGAGAGAAACATTAATGTGAGAGAGAAACATTGATCAGTTGTTTCTCATATGTGCTGTTTCTGGGGACCAAACCTGTAATCCAGGCACCTGCCCTGACTGGAGATAGAACTGATAACCCCTTGCTCTGTGCGATGATGCCCAACAAACTGAGTCACACTGGTCAGGGCAATGACACTTTTTGACCCTAATCATCTTCAGATCCAGTCCCTGGGTTGCTGATGACTTGTATTTCTAATTGCCAACTTCCCTGTTCCTTGACAGCCCTGATGTACAATGGTTTGGGAGGTTTTCCTTTCATTCTTCCCATCCCAGATTATCAGTGTTGGCAGGACACTTGCTTGGGCCTGGAGAAGCACTCGTCCTAGTGCTTCACAGAAGCACTAGGCCAACATGCTTTCTGTGAAGTACCAGATGCCCCAGCCTGCAGGTTAGAGATGGAAGAGCATCTCTGGCACTCTGACTCAGGACACCTCTGGTGTGCCACCACTACCTCACCCACATCCTGTCCCTGTGGAAGAGAAACATAAAGTATACAGGAACCCATCTGGGTGTGGAGCTGGGTGGGCACTTTGCCTGCCCATCTGAATGTCTGCACCCTCTCAAGCCTCCTAGAAACTTTCTTTCTGGCCCTTCCCCAGCTCAGAGCATTTTGGCCTCCCTTCCTGCCACCTGTAGTGGCAGTAAGAGCAGGGATGGTCCTGCTCTCCTGTGTCCCAGCTTATAGCTATAGCATTGTGTGTATATATTATTATGCAGTAAAGTGTGCCCTGTATGCATGCCCATTGACCACCTCCTACGCATGAGGCACTGTTTTAGGTGTGGGGGCTATACCAGTGAACAAAACAAAGCCCTTGAGGAGTTTACATTCTAAGCAAGAAGCACAATAACAACTCTACCTGGCCTCTGGCAAACTGTCCTCCTTGATTGGCTTACAATCTGCAGTCCAGAGTCAAAACATGGAGTCCAGAGCTGAGGCTCTACAACTTGCATCCCTGAATTTGGAAACCACAACCCAAAACACAGAGCTCAAATCTTGTACCCAAAGACCGTAATTTAGAGTTTGGAGCTCAGAATCCAGAACTTCCATCCAAGAACTGAGTCTAGGGCCCAGAACCTTGACCTCAGAATCTAGGTCTCAGAATGTGGAATCCAGAACTGGGGCCCTAAGTATGGATCCCCAAATCCACAACTTAAAGGTTGGAGCTCAGAACCCAGAATTTAGCATCAAGCACATGGAGCCCAAGGCCTAGTGTGTGGCTCAGGATATGGAGGCCAGAGTCCAGAGCTCAGAGTGAGCCCTAAAAGAAACCTCCCCAGTTTCCCTTTATTCCCCAGTCTTACTGCCTTCCTTCAGCCAACCAAAATTTTTGGAACATCCAATGCCAAGCTCTGTCAAAGGTGCTGAGAGGCAGCCAACAGGAAACAAGCAGAGGAGTGGATTCCCTCTCTCTGCAGTGTCAGGTCCAAGACAGCAGGGACTGTGTCTGCATTGTCATTATTGTTCCCATTGGCTTTTGCAGGCTTGTGGTAGGTGTTTTATAAATGTCTGTTGAATAGATTAATTCAATTTTCCCACTAATGTTTATTGACCCTATTTTTTCTAGGCATTTGGGTTGAGGATAAAACATACCAAGATCTTACTCTGGTGAATCAGCTGTCTCCAGCATCCAGGAAACTCTTGGGAGGTAGGGGCTATTTCTGACGAAGAGCTAGGGAAGACTGTGGTGGCGGTGGTGGATGGTATTGAATGGAGAGGGGTGACTTCCAGGAGCAAGAAAAGGACACTGGCTGGCTCTGGTGGTCCTAGGTTCAAATTTATTTTAGAGCAGTAGAACCAAACTCAGAGGCTTCTGATCCTGCAGCTTCTATTCACTCCTCCATAAAATAATGAGCTCCTAACAATGACTCCCACTGCCCAGAGTCAGTGTATGGTTAAACAGTTTTAATTTTTGTGGCCTCAGAGTCCCCAAGCAGAGCAGGGAAGTCAAGGTTGGCAAGGCAATGGGTGTCTTTATGATTCCATGGAGTCTGGTGCCAGAGTGCTTGGGGTCTGTTGACCTTTGTTTCATCTGTCTGCACCAAAGTGGGTCTGGCTGGCCCAGGGCTTCTTCCTCCTTCCTCCTACCAGGACCATTTCAGGCCCTGTTTCTTATTCCCACTTTCTGTAGGAATATTCCATTTTTCAATAGGAAGAAACCAAACCCTCTTCGTAATTCTTAGAGACCAGCTCATTCTTCTTCAAAAGTCTCTGCCATCTCCTGGTGACTCACACCTAGGATCAGGACAGGGAAGCAGCTTTTCCCTTCCCCAGGACCACAGAATGGACACCTGATGGACCTCAAAATAGAAAATAAATACATAATACCCATCCTTACAAAAAAAGGAAAGAAAGAAAATCAGGCAAAGTCTACACAAAGAGGTCTTTCCCAATAGAAATGTAAATAAACAACCAGTACACATTTGGACAGGCTCTCAGCCTCAGAAATAATCAAATACATGCAAATGAGACAAGAAGGTACCATTTTTTACCTTTCATCTTAGCACAATGGAAAAGGCCAGACATATGTGTAGAATCAGATCTAGTACAAGCTGTTGGTGGGAATGTTGATCAAAATTTCACATGCTCTCTGGCCCAGAGAGCCCTCCTCAGTTTCACCTCCCAGAAACCCTAGAGGGGAAAAAAAGCAAAATTGCGGGGTTTTTTTAAACAAAGCAAATGGCAGAACAATATATAAAGCATGACACTTTTTTTGTTTTAAAAATGTTTGTGCAGAAATAGGAAAATATCTGGAAAGATACATACCTAATGATTAATAGCTGTTAGTTCCAAAAAGTGTGATAGATCACTGTTGAGGAAGACAGTCATTTTTTTTAACCTTCACGCAAAGATATAATTATTGATTGATTTCAGAGATAGAGAGAGAAAAATACCAATGTGAGAAAGAAATATCAATCAGTTGTCTCCTGTACGTGCCTCAATTGGGGATTGAACCCAAACCCTAGGTATGTGCGTTGACCAGGAATTGAAACTGCACCATTTTGGTGCGTGGGATGATGCTCCAACCGAGCCACCTGGCTAGGGTGGTCCTTTTTTTAAAAATAAACTTCTGCTTTTATTTTAACGTCTTACAACTATGGGCCACCTTTGTAATTTAAATAATTAAGAATTATTACGAAAAATCTGTTTTCTTTTCTCTGCCTTGTCCTAACTGGTTTTCCTCCCTGGGATG